CGAGCGAGCTGGAGAGGAGGAAGAGATACGGGGGCTGGGGGAGGATCTTAATCATCTTTCGTGCACCTGATCGGATAGGCTGTTAACCACAGACGCCCGGCTCGGGCAGAAGAAATAAGCCGTGAAACTCGTGAGTGGCTAGAAGTGGTTAAGTACGCGGACTCTAATCTGGGAGAACCGGGTTCGATTCCCCACTCCTCCACGTGCACCTGCTGGATGACCTTGGGCAAGCCATGCTTCTGTCAGAGCTGTTCTTGAGAAAGGTGTCAATGCTCTCAGCCCCACCTACCTCACAGGGTGTCTGTTGTGGAGAGGGGAAGGGAAAGGAGATAGTAAGCCACTCTGAGACTCAGAGTGAAGGGCAGGGTATAAATCCAATCTCCTCCTCCTTCTCCTCTTCTTCTAGAACAACAGCTCCTCGTAGGGACTCCAAAACCTCTTGTCCAGTTGAGTGCCACAGGGAAAAAATGGGGTGGGTTGTCAGATACTTGGCATTCACAGTATAGGGACTGGGCTGCATTTGGTTCAGTGGGACCCCGACCCAAGTGACAGAGACGTGCTCTTGTTCTCCAATGTTTCCTCCTACAGGGAATAGAGAAACACCCAGCCATGCACATGGCTAACACCAGGGCTACTTTTGGGCAGGAACGCACAGGAACGGAGTTCCGGCTGGCTCCCAAGTTGGCCACGCCCATCAGGAACTCATTAGCATAATAGGCCACACCCAACAGCAGAAACTCATTAGGATTGGCTACATTAGGGGTGTGTGGTCTAACATGCAAAGGAGGTCCTGCTACAAAAAAGGCCCTGGGTTTTGACAACAAACAAGGTAAACAGAACAACAAGCAAAAGGTGGGTGTGGCTGGAGAACCACCCTTCTGGTAACATGGGGGTGCGGCCTAATGTGCTAATGAGCTGTGCTGTCAGGGGTGTGGCCTAATATGCTAATGAGTTTCTGCTGTTGGGTGTGGCCTATTATGCTACTGAGTTTCTGCTGGGCTTTTTCTACAAAAAGAGCCTTGGCTAACACACACACACACACTTAACTCGATCTCTATAACAAACCTATTAAGGCATCTGGGTCTAGAACAAGTTGAAATTAAACGGACCAGAACCAACGGGTTGAAATCAAATCAGAAGAGTTTTCGATTAAACATTAGGAAGAACTTCCTGACAGAGCG